TTGTTCTACACTTTCTTTAGAAGAAAGTTTGAATTACAATACTGTGAAAGCTGCAATCTTACGGGCTTACGAATTAGTTCCTGAGGCTTATAGACAACGCTTCCGAAATCATTGTAAAGTGTCAGACCAGACATTTGTTGAATTTGCTAGGGAGAAGGGCACTCTCTTTGATAAATGGGCTGTAGCCAGTAAAGTGAGTGACTTTAACTCATTGCGTGACTTAATGCTCGTAGAAGAATTTAAGAACTGTTTGCCTGAACGCATTGTTGTGTATTTGAATGAGCAAAAAGTAACTAATTTATCGCAAGCCGCTGTTTTGGCAGATGAGTTCGTGCTCACTCATAAGAACGTTTTCACATCTGCGCGTGTGGAGAAGACTTTGTCTTCTCCAAGTTCCCAGTCTCAGTCTCTCCAAATAAAAACTAGTTCCCCACGTCCTAAAGAGGAGCGTGAATGTTTTTATTGTCACAAGAGAGGTCATATAATTGCAGATTGTTTGGCCCTAAAACGTAAGCAGCAGCAGCAGCAGCAGCAGCAGGAATTTAAGAGTGTAGGGTTTAGCAATGCTGTTTCCCATGTTCCTGTTCCTTTGACTATTGAAAATACTCCTGACCCTTGTTATGAACCATTCATTATGGAAGGATTGGTTTCACTAACAGGTAAACCAGAAGACCAGAAAACAATTCAAATATTAAGAGATACTGGAGCAGCCCAGTCGTTTATTATTGTGGACGCACTGCCTTTGTCTGATCAATCTTTGTGTGGTTCGAGTGTATTAGTTCAAGGCATCGAATGGGTTGTTTGAAAGTGCCTTTACACCATATACATCTACAATGTGATTTAGTTACTGGATTTGTTAGGGTTGGGGTATGTCCTTCGCTACCCATTAAAGGGGTAACTCTTATTCTTGGAAATGACCTGGCTGGGGGTAGAGTATAGCCTATTGTTTGATTGGTTTTGTCTTCATTGTCCAAACATTAGATGTTTGTTTTTATGGGTGGGGGTGTTACGTTGCAGTGTGTGTTCTGTGTGTGTTTTTTTCTGTTATGTTCACACTGCTGACCCTTGATTGTTCTCCCTTCCCCATTGGCCAACCATCACACCACTGTTACAATATGATGTCATCATTAATCAGCCTTCAGCTAATCAGAACTCATTTATTCACTATTTAACATGGAGGCTTTCAGAAAGAAAAGGCCTTTCGTTTGACTTCGGCCCGTTTGGTTTTGGTTATCGCTTCGCTTCGCTTCTGGTTATTGCTTCGGCTTCGTTTGCTGGTTTGTTTTTCTTTGTGTGTTTTCTACGTAAAAGTAAATAAATATACCTGCAAGTCTAAGATAACTACAGATGCAGCCTGTAACGCATCTAAAGGTCATAAACGATACTAATTTAGGACATAAACATATTACTGTATATGGCTGGTCGTGGTAGTTTAAAGAAAAAATGCACACCAGTCTTCCATTTCTCCCTAAACATTTTAAGCATCAAAGTTTTATGAAACGGTCCCCAAATATGTGATTGCTGTATAGAATTAATTTTAATTTTTAAAATTTATTTAACACAAAAATTAAGCCTGAGAATAGTCCCTTGTTGCTACGCAACGCAAAAACACAGCCACAAGTAACTAGCAAAGAGAGAACATTAGCTAGCCAATATGATAAAGGAATAAATGACTTTTTTTGTTTATTTCTTTAGCACATTTATTTGAACATTTACATCGATTGTACAAGCACTTGGAAACTGTCCAATCCCTAGTTCATCAGGCATTTTCTTTTACCCTCCGGGCATGCTCCCACTGGCGCTGGTCTGTGTCTTCTAGGATATAACACAGACGATTTGTTATTAAAATTGGGTTTCCAATAATGCCGCAGCAAACTCTTGTATTTATGTCCACTATGCTTTTAACTGAGCGTTTCATAATTTCTAAGAATTAAAATGATTTAAACTAAGAAATAAAATAATTTAAACAGAAAAAGATATGTGTATCAGATACATGAGAATCCAAGCTTTTTTATCTATGCTGAGAATTAGCTTTTAAAATTTCTTTAACACACAGCAAAAAGTCAAAATTCTGGGGTGTGCATATACCAGAGATTATGACACCCATCTGACACCCCTCTGATTGGGAAAAAAAGACCTGCTGATCTGTTCTACATACCAGGAACACAACAGATAATGATTTTTTCTATTCAAAACGTGTATTTTAAACGTTTAATTAAGAAGTAAAAACCTTACAGCGAACACAGATTTCTAAGCTGATCTGGAGAAGGAAAAATCACCCATGTTTTGCGCATAAAAAGTGGTTATTAACTATTGAAACCTGTTTTTATTTCGCCTGGCAATCTACCTGAATGCCCAACTACAGTATCTGGGAAGCCCTCCATAAAACCAAAAGAGCCACAATTGGACTAGTGTTGATAATAAGAGACAGAGAGTCCCCGTTCCCCCATTTTGTTTTAAATCGCAAAAAGTGGTTATTAACTATCGAAACCTGTTTTTATAGCTTTTAAAGTCGTGCAATGTCTAAGCAGGAACACATCATTATATCTTATATATGAAAAAGTGTGCCTGAGTCACTGTGTCCATCCTATATAATAATGCCACAATATTTTAAACGCCCCATTAGGCTGGGCAATCGAATTTTTTAATAAAAAAAAGAGATGTAATGATGTGTTCCTGCTTAACTTAGAAATTGCATGACTTTAAAAGCAATAAAAACAGTTTTCGATAGTTAATAACCACTTTTTGTGCATTAAAGAATGGGTGATTTTTCTTCCTCATCATCAGATCTTTCTTGAAAAAATATCTTATCCGCTGCTAACCTGGCACAGAAGGGTTAAAAAAAGAGTCAGACAGGCAGGGGGGAGGGTGAGTTGTGAAACTGTTACCTGTCCTGCATAAAGCGGTTAGAAAATAGATTGATTTACACCTGTGAAAAGCGTTCCAATTTTAATGCGATACGGAAGACATTATTCATAAAAAATGATCTTGTATGGTCTGTAAGCTGAAAATGTATGAAGGAGACACGTTGCGTATTGCCTCTTTTTACACTTGGAAAAACATTCCAATGTTAATGTGACACTGAAGATATCATTAATAACCTTTTAAATCTGAAGGGAGATCTAAAGGGATCCACACAGTACAGGTTCCTGCTACTGTAGCTATTCAGAGGGAAAGACGGTGACGTCACCGTGCAGGTGAGCAGACACACCCTCTAATGTCAGGCGCATGCGTTAAATATATTTAGATCTTTGAATTAATATCGTTGTGTCTAATTTTTAGTTAAGCAGGATTTGAGCTACAGACCATAAAAAAACAGGATTCACTTTTTTCACATATTATTGATAATAATATCAGTAGCAGTTTGAAACTATTCGTTGTTATTAATAAATGCCTTAGATTCGAACATGTTGTGATATTTAGAAATATAAAAAAGTCAAAACAGTATCCATAATATTGCTATTTTGCTATTGGTGTTTTAGTTTTTCAAAGAAATGTTTGTTAAAAGAAAACTCATGGTGATAGCTGGATCGCAGAAAAGATTAAAACGATCACTTTTCACAAAGTATATAAAGGTACAGTTATATGGTCAGAAGGAGCATGTAAAAACGTTTCCGAAATAACCACATGTAAGACTTTAATGCTTAAAATGTTTAGAGAGAAATGGAATACTAGTGTGTATTTTATCTTTAAAATACCAATACCAGCAATATACAGATTACATAATATGTTGTATGCTCCTCTTCTTTTTATGCTCAACTACTAAAAATCCTCTTTAGTGGTAAAATTTCATATAAATATTAAATACTAAGCGGATTAAAATGTCGGTCATTTTGGCCAGCCAATCACATAAAGCAGTACGCCACAGTGGCACACACGTAGTTGCCAGTGGTATGGGTTTTTACTGTGCATTTTAAATGGCTGCATCTGTACAGTGAACCCGTCTGCCGAGTTCAAGAACTCTGTTACTGGTGCGAGAGTAACAAATCTGCAATTTTGTTTCTCAATTTTGTGCCTGGGTTGGGGGTGGCGGTTGATTTTGCTTTTAATACCAGTATCTTCTGTGCATTTGTGTACAGGAAAAATTTAATTGTCACCAATATCATACCTTAATCAGAAGAGTTGCAGGTGTAGCCTTAATAGGTGGACATTAGCAAGCAACTGCATGTTCTTACAAAGAGGCTTTAACTAGCACATCTCAGTATTTTATAGCTTTTTAAAGCTAGCTTTTTAAAGCCTTTTTAAAAATTTGAAGAAGTAATCGGTTTCTCATTGTGTCGTTTGTAAATTAATATGTAAATCAAGGGCTGTTTAAAGATTCAATCCATCTTTTGAGTCACCTATTTTAAAAAAAGTTATTAAAAGTTAGGATTAGCAACTTCCTGTATCACAAGACCATTGTTTTTTATATATTTTTATATATTTTTTTATATGTGAAAAAATCATAAATGTGAAACAGAACCAGGATTTTTTAAAGGGGGCACTATGCTCTAAGTTGACCCAGGTAGTTCATAGCGCAACTTCAAAATGCAGCCATAACGATTGAGACCAGTCCGGTTCACCTCGGACATTGTAGGGGGGCTGAGTGACATCACGACCCCAAAAAAACAAGGCGCTATATCTCTAAAATGAAAGCAGCACAAAAGCTACTTTCAACTGCACAAACTGGCACAAACGTAGCACTAATGAATGAGGTGGGTTTCATCATTTGTGCTGTCTGTAGGGGGGGCAACTTCACAGAGCTACAATCTGTGACTCGATCCTTTAAGGATCGAGTAAGGTCCTTTATAGATCTTATTAAAAATATGCCTGGCCATCTGGCCTCTGACCATTGTGGCAGCCTCAGTTGATAAGATAAGAGATGGCTGTAGGGCCCCAGGGAGACTAGGAATAATGCATATGCTCTTTTCTTAAATTAAGAAATATTGAGAGGTATAGTTACTGTCCAGGCACCTTGTCACATACAGCAGTATGAAATAAATATTTTTTTACTCTTCTAGGTATCACATGTATGGCAAATATGTCTTCCGGCTTAGAGTTTACACCTCTAAGACACAGGATACGCTGAAAACTATTTTTGAGAAAGAAGGAAACTACGGGGATAATTGGAACTATGGACAGGTTACGCTTAATGACACTACTGATTTGATGGTTAGTACCTTACTATCTACAGATGTTTGTGTCAAACCAATCCACAATACAGGTAGGATCAGTACATTTTTGTTTGTTTTTGTTCAGCATTCCAATTTTTATTGATTGGTTTTCTGTCAAACTTCCTCCCCATAACTATCATGGGTAAAGTTAAGCCTAATCTTAATTTTGAAAAGGCATTTTATTCTTCACCTCTGACACCTAAAATGGTATGTGCTGGTAAAAAATGACATGATAAAAGTGAAAAACTGACAACCAGGAAATCTCTTAAATGTCTGTTATAGAGGCAATTCAGTCTACAAAAGCCCCACTCTCTGGAGGGCATTGAGCATGTAGTCCTACTTTTACAACTCTTCTTAGGTTGTGTTTGAAGCCCAGAAGATGTCTGGCCTTTGGAATGACATAGCCTTGGATGACATCGGGCTGACAATTGGTCCATGTATCGATGGTGTCCACCCAGAACCGACACCAGTCATGCCACTTGCTACCTCTCCTTCCCAACCCAGTATGTCACACTTTCAGACTGTTGTGTTCATGTTTCTAGTCATTTGTTCAATTTCAATTAAGTATTAACAAAACCAATCTTAATGGCCAACAATCATACATTAACTATCTTATAATGAGGAACCTAAAGCTAAGACTTTATTTGTAAACAGAAATGTTTACCTATTATAAAAGTAGTATTGACTTAATGTGCCACATCATTCTTCTGTAATAATTGTAAATTATCAATGCAGTATCTAAGAATGTCCTGATATCAACATGCTTGATGAGAGATATTTTTCCTTGTCACCAGCTGACTGTGGTGGACCTTTTGAACTATGGGAACCAAATTCTACTTTCAGTTCTCCCAACTATCCTCACAATTATATCAACAGCGCATTTTGTAAGTAACATGATGAATCTATGTGTGCATGCACCATAACTTCACTTTTCTCACTTATCATTTAACTATTTACAAGGTGATCATCCCAAAATTTAGGAGTGGCTGAGTGTCTCTAACTTTTAGTTGTTACCCTTATTGAGTACTGAGGATTAATATTTGCATAAATATTTCTGCAATCCTTTTTTTTGTGCCTTCTCAGAAAAAAACATTTTTCATATGAAGCTTGGACAGGGGAAATAAATCATGTTTAATTACTGTGGCAGGATTTTATATATACTGTAAACTAAAAGGGAATTCATTTAGGACAGATAATATGAAATAAGAAAGAAACAGCTTGGCTACAAACAAAACAAATGAGTATCTGTATTTGTTAAAGTTTACTTGTTGAAGTTGAATTGGGGCTCATTCACTTGATAACTTGACCTGTATCTGATTTTATTAATCGCTTACACTTATATAACGCTTTTCTGGAAACCACTCAGAGCACTTTACAGGTAATGAGGACTCCTCTCCACCACCAATGTGCAGCATGGATGGTGTGATGGCAGCCATAGTTCGCCAGAATGCTCACCACACACCAGCCATTAGTGGGTAATTCGGCCAATTCATAGACGGGGTTTATTAGGAGGCCATGATTGGTAACGGCCAATGGGAAATTTGGTGAGAATGGCAGTGTTACACCCCTACTCTTTTCAAGAAACACCCTGGGATTTTTAATGACCACAGACAGTCAGGACCTCCGTTTTACATCTCATCCAAAGGACGGCGCCTTTTTATAGTATAGTGTCCCCATCACCATACTGGGGCATTAGGACCCACATAGACCGCAGGGTGAGCAACTCCTGCTGGCCCCACCTCTTCCAGCAGCAACCTTAGTTTTTCCCAGGAGGTCTCCCATTCAGGTATTGACCAGGCTTACACCTACTTAGCTTCTGTGGGCTGCCAGTTGTGAGCTGCAGGGTGATATGACTGCTGGCAATTTGGGTTTAAGAAGTAAACAGCTCTGTGTAATGTGGATCAGACAATTGACCAAATGCACTTGAGCCATAACAATATATTATGATGACAAATCTGGGCCTTGGAGATTTTGCAATCGCATTTGGGTCACGGTGATGTTTTGTACACACCCAAGCCATGGTAAAGTCTTATGTTATCACATGTACAGATGGAACCATTCAGAGCATGTGGCAGCACTCATTGCTGTGGTAGATTAGCTGTGCTTTGCTTCACTATACCACAATGTGTTTTGCCAAAGATTATCAATAGTTGGCACTTGTGGCGCATTAGATGTTGGTGAAAACATTAGCTGCCTGCAACAAATATGTAATACTTTTTAAAATGTACTTAATATGAAAAAAACAATATGGAATCTAAATCTAAAGTTATATTTTGATAGCAGAATATCATATATCAATATTATTTTTTTAGTATAAATACAGTATATTATTTAGCTGGTTATGGTAGGGTATTCCACCTCATAAACATTTCCTCTCCTCCCCTCTGGTCTCCTTGCCCCTCTCTCACCAAAAAAGCATTATGTCTCTTCACGGGGGCCTGTTCCAAGACTAGACTTTCAAACCACCTCACACACCCGAAGAAAGCTCCACAGCCAAAACATTGTGTTTCTTTTCATTTCAGAATATAATGAACATTTATCTGTTCCTTTGCAGCCTACACATGCTGACAAACCACTTTCAAAGGTGCTATGTAATATACAAGTTTGTTAATATTTATTTTTTAGAAGGCACAAGTAAGTCAAAAGCAGCATTGTGTGTTATGTTTATTTATTTTGCTTGGGACTAGACCACAAAGTCACTTTAATTTTATATTTAGACAAAGTAGGAAGTAACAGAAGACAGTGAGGATGGAGGCCCGAGAAATTCTGACATCCACTGACTTAAAATAAACGTTTTACTTAAGATCAGAAAAAGAATGTACTATTAATAAATGTTACTTTTTACAAGTTTTACAAGGTCTTATAATAATTTATACACACACACAACTCATTCAATTTTCCCAGAAAAAAAAACCTTGGAAAAAATATGTCTTTGGACATGTCTAAAGAGGAAATCGGAGTACCCACAGGAAACCCATGTGAACAAAGGAAGAACATGCAAACTTCACACAGATTGCATCCTAAATTTGAACCCTTTCAACTCAGCTGCTTTCAATAGAACAACAAAGTACACACAGAGAACTAATGAATGTCTCAGTTCTCCTGGGCCGTTTTAGGGGAGTGACCTTATCTCACCAAAAAATAAGGAGCTATATCTTGGTAATGGAAGCCAGATCACTAGATCAGGCAAAGAATAGAGTGTAATAACAGTGTTTTTTGTTTTGTGTTCAAGTTCCTTAATCATTAAACTATCACTTCTAATAATTTATCTAGTTTGTTGATGATTTTAGTCAAAGTGACATAATATATCACCAAACATACTCTGAAGTCGAAGTAGTCCTGTAAACTTTCATATATGAATATATGCAACATGGCCAGAGGGGTGGAGTCCAACAGCTCTGTTTGGGATTAATATTGTTAATGGCATCAATTAGTGGATTCTAAGATGAATCCTGCAGTGAAAGCGATTGAGGTTGACTTGGGTTTGGGGGATGTCCAGCTTCCTGGGGACTGGTACAAAACTGAGGCCTTTGTCGTGAAGAGATCGCTTGTCCTGTAAAAGGGAAAGATCAGAGGGTATAGTAATAACAAGGTTAGGAATGGTGGAAGTAGTAGGGGTGTTGATGGTTTTTTACTGTAGAAGACGATTTAGTTTTTTGTCCTCTGAAGTGAGGAACTGGTAGAGTTTCGAGAGGAGGGATCTGATGAGCTGTTAGCCGTAAAAATTCCTTAGTTTCTTTGATGTTGTTGTCAGAAAGGGTAATCTGTTGTTAGAGGGAGAAAATGGTAGAAAGCATTAGTTTCTGGGAAAATTGTTGTAGAAGTCTCTGAGTGTTACTCTGGGTGGTGTCAGAGTCAAAGGAAAAAGTATTAAATTTTAGGCTAAATCCTTTAGGAATTATATTATAATGATGACATCTGTAATGGAATAGGAGGTGGTTATGAGGTTCTAATGACAAGTTAGAGCACTTCCTGAATCACTTTACCAACTTCCACCCATCCCTCAAATATCTAGTTAACATATCTTCCACTACTCTTCAGTTTCTAGACATAAACCTATCCATTAACCATCCCCGACTGTCTACTTCAGTCTATTACAAACCCACGGATTCACACAGCTATCTCCTGTACAGCTCATTTCACCCCAAACACAGTAAAAACTCTCTCCCTTTTTCACAGTTCCTTCCACTGTGGGGACAGTGATGACATGGATTCCAAGAATCAAGCACTCAAAGTACACACCTTTTTCATCAACAGAGGATACCCCACCCATGTTATTGACAGGGCCCTCATCTGAGCCAAAAACAGCCCCCAGACCATTCATTTGATCAGGAACCCCCGGCATAACAACCGCATTCCTTTGGTGCTTCCCTTCCACCCTAACATACTTTCTATCCCCAGGACGATTAATGACAACATTTCCATCTTATAGGCTGATCCCTCCACCGAGGCCCTCTTTTCTGACCGCCCCACCATGTTATAATGCTGAACACCTAATCTACATAACCTTCTTGTTCACAGCTCTCTTGACCACCCTCAACAATAATCCACACCGGGTGCTTTTCCCTGAAACAGAGCTCGCTGCATCACCTCCAAGTACATATCTAACACCACACTCAATCAAAGCCCCTCAGAACAATTCCGGATCACACAGGTGACCTCTTGTACCTCCAGCAACCTCATTTACTGTATCTCTTGCGGGAAATGCCCAGCTATCTATGTTGGGGAAACAGGAAGGAGACTTGGAGACCGCTTCAGAGAACGTTAGGGCTTTGAAGACTGAAGATTTCTCCAAGCTCATAGTTTCTCATTTCACCTCAGACGACAATGAGCACACTGATCTATCCGTCTGCGTTCTCAAAGAAGGTTTTCTTAACTCCCATAGCAGAAAGACATCAGAAATAAAAATAATCCTGAAACTAGGTTCACGTCTTCCCCCTTCTCTAAACGACAGATTGTTTAATCTTGTCTATTCACATGCAGGTTTTGACTTCACCCCTCTATTCACCTCTCCCCAATTCGCACCACCTGGGAGGCATCTCTGCCTCTCCCCTGATCCTGCCTCCTCCACTCTCCCAACTTTTGTTCTCCTATGCTATTTAATCTTTGCTGTCTGCTCTGTCTTTATCACACCCAAAGAAGGCTCCACAGCCAAAATGTTGTGTTTTCTTTCTTTTCTTTTCAGCAGGGAATAAACCTATTACTTGTTCCTTTGCAGTCTACGCATGCTGACGCAGCTACTTACCTGAAGTACTGTAATGTAATACTGTAATACAGTAAACTAATGTATGCACCATAGATGGTAGTGATAGCTAAATATGAAAACTTACCCAACAGTATTCTACCCTCTTCATAAATATTTTACGCGTCAAAGTCTTTAACTTGGTAATTTACAGTGGGTTCTGGTTTTAACGTGCTTGTTCTAATATTATAAAGTTTATGGACTGTACTTCATGTTATTCAAGTTATAACGTTTTATCCTTTTCTAAGAATATATAGTTAGAACACCACTTGCTGTAATTGTAAAAAATAGTTGTACATATTTAATATCACTTGATAGTTATATTAATATGGAATTGTGTAACTAAGCAGCTAAAATATCACAAGTGGACATTTCAGAAACATTTTGACATCCATTTCTTTAAAAAAAACTTGTATTGTCCTTGTGGTGGTAAAAAACAAAGCACTGTAATGTAACGTGCTGCACCCAATGGTTCAAAGCGAGATCAGAGCATTACTTTCGGTTTGTTTCTTACATAGTGAATACATAAAAATAGCCCACTGTTATAGCTTGTTGTTGGCTCCATCGTGAATCTGCGTATCTGGATAAATTAAGTGATGGTTTTGTGATTAAGGATTTCTTCGCGGAATTCTTTAAGTTAAA